ACTTTTTCAGACTAGAATTGAATGTGCTACAAAACTGCATACCAGAATTTTTTCTAAAGATTCTGATTAAAAAGTTTGAAATTTGGGTGAAAAATTGCAAAATTTTTATAATTTTTATACAAAGTTTAAAATCTGAATTTATATGGTGTTTGTTGTATAGCCAGCTGGGCTTTTATAAAAAAATAATAAACATTAAATAAAAAAAAGACAAATAGCCAAAACTGGTCAAAATATCGCACTCCTATTATTTTGTGGACAACTGTATGTATTTATGTATGTGCTTAACTACTTAAATATGAAGGCCTTTCAATACATTTTTATTTTATTTTATTTCTTTGTATTCCCAGCAAAAATGTTGATTAATTCGAATTCCCACACGGCCATTGAGTTGCAATCGGCAAACGAGTCTGAATGTGGACAAATATCACATGAACACTGCAGATTCACCCCAACACGCCTCAGAACAGAGGTGGGAATTTGGCGTCAACTGATCGTACTCACCCGCCGGTCTTTGCGTACAATGTCAAGAAATTTGGTAAAATACTTTTAATACTCTAGATTTTAATACTCTAAAAATATGTTTTTCTATATTTATTGTTTAATTCAGATAGCAGTTCAATTGCGCGTGGTAATGCATGTGATTGTTTCAGCGCTTGTTGGAGCGGTCTTTTGGGATATTGGCAATGACGGTGCACGGGTATTAACAAATATTTCCTGCATATTTTTCATCATTATGTTTATATTCTTTGGCAATGCAATGCCATCTATTTTGTCGTGTAAGTAGAAGTAGCAGGGACTAATAAAAAGGAACCTAAAGTTCATATTTTTTTAATTATAACAATCTTAGGTCCGCAAGAGACGGCGGTTTTTATACGCGAATACCTTAATGGCTGGTATTCGCTTAGAGCATATTATGTTTCAAAGCTGACCTCGGACATTCCTATGCTCTTCATTTGCCCAACTCTATTTACCACAATCATTTACTTCATGACCAGCCAGCCGGACGATATGGCACGATTTGCTATGTGCTGGGGAATCAGTTTAATTTTGGCCATTGTTGGGCATTTGATGGGACTAGCTTTTGGTTCCACATTTGATATACAGGTAAATTATCTGCACGTGTTAGCGAATTTAAAAAAATTCTAATTTACATTGAAAATTACATTTCAGATGGCAATTTTGTTGGTACCTGGAGTAGCGATACCATTTATGATATTTTCAGGATTTTTCATACGCATTCATGAGCTTTCTTCTTTTTTTCGACCGCTTTGCGATATATCCTTCTACCGTTACACCATGGAGGCTCTGATGCAAGCTATATATGGCTACGATCGCCCTGATTTAAAATGTCATACAGAATTTTGTTATTTTAAGTCACCAACTAAACTGCTGAAGGAGTTAGACATGCTGGGTGATTTGTATGGCCATGACTTATTCGTTTTGCTGATATGGATCATATTTTTTAAAGTGCTATTTTTCTTGAGCTTGGTTCTACGTGTTAAACGTACACAATAAGCTTAAAAAACACATTCAGTTCAAAGCACTTTATATATAAAAGTGTAGGTACAAAGGTGGCCAATTGAACTGTGATTCGATTTTTATAAGTTTCGAGAGTAGAGCATTATCATTAATAAGTGAATGTTAAAAGTACGTTTCAATAGTCGCATCGGCGCGTGAATTTCGCTTAATATAGCGTCTTATAACTTTCCTTGGAAACATCCCAGTAGATAATTTCAGGAGTTGAAAGCACTTCCGAAAAGCCTTCCTGAGAATCAAGAGGTCTTCCACTCTACATTCATTTTTGTATGGAGTGGCACGAATTGAAGGGCTTCCCCTTTCGCTACCCACAGAAGGCCTTCCAGAAGGGCTTTTATAGGACGTACTTCAGAAGGCCTTTTGGAGCTTAGGATAGCTTCACTTAAGAAGGCCTACCTAAATTATCTTCTGGGATATTTCTTTAAGTGCTGTCTTGTTATTAGATAATTTCCCCGGAAACGTATTTTTCTATAGTATGTCGCATTGAAAATTTCTAAATAAGATGTGAAATCAAACTGAATTTAATTAAGTTAAAATATTTGAAAATTAGAATAGCGTTTTTTTATAAATACGTATACAAATAAAGAATATTTATAAGAACACAAAAGAACATACGCGGAAATCACGAAATAAATCAATTATGTATTAGAAATACCAAATTCGCTTGCGGTCCCCAACTCGATTTATAGTAACAATCTTTAATTAAAATTAATGCCATATTTGTACTCCTCATACATATATTTTCGACATACTCTTACAAAATCCGATCAAAGCTAACTTATTGAACAAAGATCATACATAATAACCTAAAAGCATATCTTTAAAATTACAAGCTAACCTAACTTTGTAAGCAGGTTGAAATATGAAAATGATCCTTTATCTAGCAAAAAATTTATCCTAAATGTATTACAGGTTTAGGAATGAGATGATGGCCCAAATTATGCTGACTTGTGCAAAAACGTTTACTCAGCATATTATACTTCTTACGTTCAATCTATAGAAATAGACGAAATTTCCATTGAATTCTGCTCGTCGTCGTTGCTTTCTGAATCCCTCGCTTCGATGGGTTTTTCTGTTTGCTGCCCTATAGCAAACGTCGCAGCCGTACTAGTACTTGGACAGATCTCATTTGTGCTGCTGGAAGCAGCCATCTCACTTTCATTCAAACTCATATCCGCCGCTGTTGATATCAAATGTGAATTTGTAGTGCTATCGCCAGTAGCTGCGGGCGTTTTTTTTGACTCTTTGAAATCGGATTGGCAGGATAACACATAGTCACTACACAGATACTTATAATCACTCAATTCCATTTCCATATCATCGTCTGATGAGGTGTCCGCTGCTATTACGTTCGCATTCGTGGAACTGTTAGCTTCACCCTCACTAGTTGCGACTTTCCCACTACGTTTATTTTCAATGGTTTTAAGTAGAGCTTTGGCCTCGGATTTCCGCTAAGCATATTAATAAAATAGCAAAATGTTACGAATAGATTATAAAATTAAGGCGCATTCGTTATTAAATAACTACCTCGTCTGATTCAAGACATTTGTAAGCATAGTGTGATGCTTTATCAAACTGTCCTTTGCTCTCATAGTAATTTGCTAACGTCATAAATCCATGGTATAAACTTTGTTTGTCCGTCGCAGCCCGCTCGTCATCGCAATACATTATGTAACACTGAACAGCGTCCTCGTATTCTCCCCTCTTTTCATATAAGCCAGCTAATTTGCACATAGAAACAGCTTCAATATCCCCGACATCGCAGGCTTTCCAATAACACTTAATAGCATTATCGAACTTTTCCAATTTTTCATACGTTTCTCCTAACGCAACCAACATCCGGCTGTCATACGGACGCAGTTGATGCGCAATTTTGAAGTAGTATAAGCTATAATAATGCATTTTAAGTATTTCATACGATTGACCTAAGCCATACCAGGCGCGGTAGTCCCGTTTATTTACTTCTAGATTTCGAAAGATTAGTTATGGATAGAACTCTTCAAACAATTATCCTAAAACTTACCGACTGCCTTACGATAACTTTGTATTGCAGCATTTGTATTTTTTAACTCCATAAATTCATGGCCCATCAATGTCCACGCCGATAAATATTTTGGATTTAATTTTAAAGCTCGTTGAAAATAAACTATGGCCATTTGATGGTCTGAACGTATGCTGTAGTAATTACCTAAAATAAATATAAATTAAAAACTAAGAACAACACACTTTCAATTTAGTTCTTTACCAACTACACAGCATGTCTCTGGACAATATTTATTAATGCTGACTGCCTTATGAGCCAATTGCGCCATCTCAGTCTTCAGCTCCTTTACAAATAACAAATTCGAGTACGTGTCCATGTTCTCTAAGCGATAGGGATCAACTTCTTGTAGCGTTTGAAAAATTTCAATAGCTCTATCGACATCTGTAAAAGTTGTAATGTTTATGTATGTATATTTAATTCAGTCCTATTATTATTGAAATTTTATATATTGACATCATCCCAGAAGATAATTTAGGTAGGCCTTCTTAAGTAAAGCCATTCTAAGAGGCATATCCAAGAAGGGCTGAAAAAATGCTTCCTTGCATGCCTTACATTTTACGCGAATGCATAAATTTATATTGGGGTATATTCTTGTTTTCGTACGAATCGAAAATCATGAAATTTTTCTATCTTTTCCTATAAAAAAATTTCAAATTTTCGATTCGTACGAAAACAAGAATACGCCTCATTATTTAGCATTACAAATGAACTTCAATAAACATTTTAAGCTGCAATAACACATGTTTGATATAAACCGCAAGCAAAAATACTTCGAAGGTGTATGATTTTTATAAATTAAAGAAGCAACTTTAAAAGAACTCCCCCAAAAGCCCTTCTGAAGTATGTCCTATAAAAGCCCTTCTGGAAGGCCATCCATGGGTAGCAAAAGAAGAAGCCCTTCAATTTGTGCCACTCCATACAAAAAATAAAGGAGAAAGGAATGTAGAGTGGAAGGCTTTGTGACTCTCAGGAATGCCTTTCAGAAGGGCTTTCAACTCCTGAAATTATCTACTGGGATTTACCTCTTTTGTTGTGATAAGCCAAAGCCATTTGCGAAGTCACATACACGCATTTACGAAATCCTGCATGTTGAAGGTCTTCGTACGCCTTTAGGCCTTCATCATTCAGATACATCTCAATGTAGCTATGCGCAACAAAAAAATGTCGCATCCAATGACCACCAAAATTTAGTGATAACATTTTATCCTTTTCCATTATGAGCGGAGCCAATTCAACATAAGCGGCCCATAACATTGGTGCCAATCGGATCGCATGTATGAACATTTGTATTGCTACTTTATTGAGATTTACGGCCTTTAATACAACTCCATATAGGTATATTCCATAGCCATCCAGTAGTCCATGCGAATATTGAGAACGGAGAATCGCCAGCAATTCAGTCAATTCACGCACGTGACCTGTATCATTTAAATTCGAACGATCCGTTGTAGAATCCAAGCGTCGCTTTTCCCTTGACATATACGTTGCATACAAATGAAGAAAACGTGGTACGGAAGATTCGCAATTACGCACAAAGTATGCCGCTCGATCATATTCACGAACATCAAAGTAACTTTTGGCAAGAAAATAATTATCATATTCAGTCAGCGCGATTCCTTCCAAAAACTGGCAAGATTCTCCAGACTCCGACATCACATGTTGACTGCAACTGCTTGTACCAGCTCCCTCGCAATCAACGTCCCCAAGACCATGGCTCATTTCAGCTAACCACTTGGCGCTCTGAGTTAGGCCTCGTTTCTGACACTCAATGATACCTCGACGAAGTTCACGCTTTACGTCTGACAAAGGTATATTAAATAAATCTTCTTCCATAACAATTTATTAATATTGACAGTAAGAATATAATTGTATGTATTTGCAAAATCCACCAGCACCAGTATTGCCGCTCTACAAAAAAGGAAAGTCAAATTTGAGTTAAAACAGTTTTGTCATTTCAAACATAGAGATGAAACCATACGTAGATATAAACCGATACGAGTAAATACAAGTACATACTCGATACTTTTCAATCGATACCAAGCAATTTTGGTATCGATACTTTCGGACTGAGTACTGAGTAGGTACGGAAAAACAAATACTCGTGGCTGCAATTTAGTTTGGCATCCCCGGAGTTCCGCATTAAGGTAGCTATGGAACGGTAGAGGGAGTTCTCCTGATTGCAAATATATAAACTTTTAGCCGCAGCAGGCTTATAGGCGGAAATTCATAGTCATATTAAGTACTCAACTAAGTCGAAACTATTCTAAGTCACAACTAAAGCTATTCATAGTCGCCTTAGTTTCGACTTTTCTGGCTAAGTACCAACTTAAAATATAGTTTCGGCTGCAGCTGCAACTAAGTCGTAACTAGAAAGAAGTATTTTGTTGGTAGAGGGTGATTTTGATAATATTGAATAATCTCCAATTAAAATTTACAAAGATCGATCCATTTTAATCGGAAGATGAAATTAAATGCGCATCACAATTCGAATAAAGCTACATCACAATTTTATAATTGGAATAATTTAGATAAATTCTCAAATAATAAGTCAGTTTCACGCTAGTTCTTTTAAAGTAAATTTGTGCATAACATTTAGATATCTACTATTTGTGTATCACAGCATGCTTTCGATAAACATCGACTTCACATCACTGCGGTTGTTCTGGCTATTTCACACAATTAACAAGAAAATGATACCTTATTCTTTTGCATAATCATGCAATGAAAATAAAAATTACTTAAACGGAGGATCAAGCTTGACATTATTTAATAAAAAGGTAATTTTTCCAAAATATCGTAAAGAAAAATCGATACATTTTCACACTCGTTTTGCTATATCGTAAACTAAGTCGAAACTACTTAGTAGAAGTCTGAAATGCGACTATGAATAGAGGTAAATTTTAAGTTGGTACTTAAATTTAAGTTGCAACTTTGTTAGTTTCGACTGAGTTGCTAGACTATGAATACGCGCCATAGTTTTTAAGTTATTTGTGTTAAAGTTTGTAAATTGAACTAACCTCTCGGCGCTATTTCTCACAATAAACACAATATTTATGTACACACTACGGCAAAATAGTTGCATTAAAACCCCGGTCTGAGATTTCCACTTCAATATACAATTCTTAATTAATTAATTAAGTAAAACGCGTTTATAAATGTCTTCACAAGCGTTTGCACATTTCACAAACAAGCAGAAATAACAATGGCTGACAGTAACACAAAATGTATGCTACCATACGTTAAAAAAAATAATACACCACAAATAAGTGCGTATAATTAGGGAGTATAAGTGTACAATACTTACATACATTGCTCTTATTAAAAATGATAATATTAGGATCGATAGGAGTCTTACTCCTGATCATAACGGTAAAATTTTTTTCGGGTTGAAATAATATTTACTGGCGTTATTGTAGTTCAAAGTACACAAATGTAGAAAACGTACATCGATCGCGCAATTTTTTATTAAAAATTTTCGCCTGCGGCGCTTTTTCCATACAAATCAATACTTCCATAAATAATGAAATTTTCGCCTGCGGCGCTTTTTCCATAAAAATCAATACTTGATAAATAATGAAAGCACTCGTTCAATATTCAAAAAATTTACAAAATTTTTAAGTGATAAAAACGATGACTTAAGTTGATTATAGTTTTTTAATGTTATTCCTAACATTCGCATTCGTATTCAAAAATGTGACATTCGAAACATCCCTAGTACCAGTGTTGGCAAAATGTTAATCTGATCAAGGACTAAAAATTAACGATTTAAATGTTAATCGAGATTAACGATTAAAATTAATTAATCGTAATCATCTGTACGATTAATGATTAGATTTTTTGATCGTTAATCGTCGGTTGTGATTACGATTAATTAATTTTAATCATTAATCGTTAATCCAATTAAAAAGAAAATCTGTTTAAGTGATCTAGTTTGTCTGAATTTGAAAGACTTATAAAAACATATAATATATACAAAAAAAAAAATAATTATTGTTATTAGTATTACATAAACTGGGAATTTTTACAACCCATCGCACACGTGCAGGTTTTTTTTTGTTTTTTTTTTTTAATTTGTTTTTATTTATTGAATCTGCCCTGCCTAAGAGCCTAACAATAAGTTTTCGAATCTTAATCTATTCTCTTAATTTACATCCCCTAGTTGGGATGAGTATTTTCTTAACTGGCCCTAAGAAAAGATTACGACTGGGCTGGTAAGTCATTCCTACGTAGTCTTGAGGTCCTGTTGACAAGCAATAAAGATCTTGCTAAATGATTTGGGTGCGCTAAAAGCTTCGATACATATTTCGTCTTCCGTTGTTCTATTTCGGTTCGTACTTCTGGTATTCTCAAGTCGCGGTGAATGTTCTCATTTCGCATATACCAAGGTGCTCCGGTGATTGTTCGAAGGATTTTAGATTGCGCACGACGAAGGATTTCGATGTTGCTGCTGCTCGCGTTTCCCCATAACTCACATCCATAGGTCCATATCGGTTTTAAAACTGTATTGTAAATAAGCACTTTATACTCCAGACTCAGGGGTGAGCGAGAGTTAATAAGCCAGTGGAGAGAATTAGCCTTCAGCTTGAGATGAGTCCTTTTAGCCACTATGTGGTTTCGCCAAGTAAGTCGCCTGTCCAGGTGGACCCCTAGGTAAGTGACATGATTGCTTTGTGGTATTTGTACGTTGTTTAAAGTCAAGGGCGGACAGTTACTCTTATTCAGTGTAAATGTAACTTGCTTACATTTTTGCTCGTTAACCTTTATTCGCCAGTTTGCGAGCCAATTGGCAACAGCTTCCATATGATTGCCTAGGAGCACAGTTGCTTGTAGAGGACACTTGGAGCGACTGATTATGGCAGTGTCATCGGCAAAAGTGGACATTATCAGGCGGTCGTTTGTAGGAATATCCGCGGTGTATAAGACATACAACATCGGGCCAAGGACACTGCCTTGTGGCACTCCAGCTTCGATTGCATGGGCTTCAGAAATGGTGGTGTTACATCGAACTGCAAACTTTCGATTATAAAGGTATGACTTAAGCAGTTTGTGTGTGCTTTGTGGGAGTAGCATTTGTATTTTATACATAAGACCATCTAGCCAGACGCGGTCAAATGCCTGGGCGACGTCAAGAAATATTGCAGCGCAATATTCCCTCTTTTCAAACGCTGTTCGGATTTCGGTTGTTATGCGATTTACCTGCTCGATTGTTCCATGTTTTTCCCTGAAGCCAAATTGGTGAAGTGGTATTATATTGCGGGCTTGCAGATGTGGGGAGATGCGCAGCATAAGAAGTTTTTCGAATAATTTCGACATACACGGTAGCAGGCTGATGGGCCTATATGAAGATGGCTGCGTTTTGTCCTTTCCGGGCTTTGGTATCATCACAATAGTCGACTTTTTCCATTGGTGAGGGAAATGACAATGTTTAGTGATTGCGTTAAATAGCATACAGATGCAAAGTACAGCACAATTTGGTAGCTCAATAATCATTTTTGGGGTTATTAAGTCGTGCCCTGGGGCCTTATTTGGTTGCAGTTGATCCTTAATTACTTTTGAAATTTCTTCAGGTACAAATTTCAGCGGCTCAAATTTTGACACATTGGGTACGGGTGGAAGTTGAAAATTATTAGTTGCGGGGTTTGGCCTAAAAACATTTTTTAGATGAGAAGCAAAGGTGTTTGCTTTTTCTGCGTCACTCCGAGCCCATTTGCCATTGTGGTCCCGTACTGGCATTTCAGTCTCTATTGGCGCATTTAGCTTGTGGTGTGCTTTCCATAACGAGTGCTTTGTGCTAGTCGGTGAGAGCTTTTGGATGTACCGGTACTGTGCGTACTGTTCCTCGTTCTTGAGGGCTCTCGTCAGTGCATGTGTGGCCGCCTTGAGCAGTTGTTTTGATGCTGGTGATCTATGAGTCTGCCATATCCGTCGTAGGCGTCGTTTTTCCAAGACAAGCATTTCAATTTTCCTATTGGTTAAATTATATTTTTTATTTTGCACATAACCTTTCTGGGGTGTGGAAATGCTAGCGGCTGCTCTAAGTGTAGATTCAAGAGCGGCTATGGAGTTTTCAATATCGGTCGGCGTATCTAAATTTGGATCGAGGTCTATATGCGCACTGATATATTTTTTATACTTTAACCAATTTGTAGCCCTTGTCGTGAGCATATAGGGTGACTCTTTTTCTTGCGGCTGATGCCACAAGGTGAAAAGTACAGGTGAGTGGTCTGATGAGAGATCTGCAACTGATTCTGTACTAATAAGGCCGCGAGGAATTTTCCTTGTCACCGCAAAGTCAATCAAATCTGGCAACTTTTGCGGGTCTGCCGGCCAATATGTAGGCTTTCCAGGAGAAGCGTAATCGAGTTTGTTTCTTCTACATATAAGCGCGTTATATAATTGCTTGCCTTTAGGGTTGGACAAGCGTGAGCCCCAGTGAGGGTGCTTCGCATTATAATCACCTGCAGCAAGGAAGCGCTCTCCCAGCGAACTGAAGAAATCCATAAACTGTTTTTCTGTTATCGTGAAACGCGGGGGACAATAAACCGCGGACAGCGTAATATCACCTTGCTTTGTTTGTACGCATATTGATGTTGCTTGCAGATAATTCTCGGCAATTCCAGTCAAATGATGGTGTTTAATCCGGTTTCTGACTAAAATACCAGTTCCGCCATGCGCCTTTCCATCTGGATGATTCGTGCAATAAAAGGTGTATCCCGAAATGTCAAAATTATATCTATTAGTTAGGTGTGTTTCAGCTAGGAGCATTATGTCAATTTCCTTGTCCTTAAGAAATTTTGACAGCTCTAGTTTGTGGCGAGGAATGCCATTTGCATTCCAGAGGGCTATTTTAAGTAAGGTCATTATCTTGTGCAGGTGAATATTAAAACCTAGTTTACGTAAGGTCTGTT